CTTTGTCAAGGGTTCAAGCGGCCAATGCAGTAATATGATAACTACTCTTCCATCTCTCAATTTTTCACTGGTAAAAAAAAAAAAAAAAAACAAAACTGAAAAATTAATAGCTTAACATCTTTTTACTGTCACAATAGCACACACATAATGGAACTGAAATTTTTGTATTCTTTCCTTCAATTTCCTTGAAACTTTTCTAGATGCAGGGAGTGAAAGGCACAATTTAACCCAACTTTTTGAGTCGTGGCAGAGGCGTGAATGTTGAAATTTGTCAGTAAAATTGACCTAGACAAATTTAATGACTCGTTACCGTCCACTATTGGTGGCTATCATGGGAATTGAAATTTTGTCTTCTTTTTGTCAGTGATCTCTTTGAAACTTTTCTAGACAAGATGACGTGGAGAGTATGGCCGGCTCTACATGTCTTGACTTAAATTTTTTCAGTCATCGCATTCATCCTTCCACAAGTTCTAAAGATATTTGAGGCGGGATTCTAAATTTATAATGCTATTGAGCATCGTGATTGAGATTTTTGTTTGTTAAATAGCATTAGATCTTCTGTCTATTTTTGCTTGCATGGCAGTTGTTGGACTTATTTTGAGTCTATCTGGATATTTTTCTGGCTCCACTTATGCTGATTTGTTAGAGGACCATTTAAAATAATGTTTTTTTTTTAATCTCCTTTTCCACTCCTCTCTCCTCCCTCCCATTTGCAAAAAAATCCTTCATAAAAGTTTTTTTAGGTTGGTCTTATTTTGGACAGTAAGATTCAAAACCAATTCGGATCATAAATGTCAATTTCAATAAATTTTTTCAGATAAAATGTTTTATTCACAACCAGTTTATGGCTGCTAAGTCTCTAACATGCCTAAAAGACAAAAACATAAATAAATAAATATAAATAATCAAAAAAATATCTATCCATTTGTGGTGTATACTCTTTCCACCCCATATTCATGTAACATGCGTGCAAAGAGTCATAATCGATTTATGCAAGTGTTAGTCTTATGCCAATTATCATTTTCTAAATTCAATAGTCACTGTTAGAAAGCACAAACTTACCAACGACAAGGCATGTCGGTAAATAGAGGGATTACATCGAAATATTTACCTTTCTACTTGAAACATGTCAGTAAGTAATTAAGGTGTTAGTATAAGTGCAACCAGTAATTTACGCAACGGCGTAACTTCAAATCACGTTAGTGTCTTTGTCAGCATTTACCGATATAAACCACATCTGAAAGTTAACTCACCAAAAAAAGTACCAACTAGATCAAAAAGTTGCCTTCAAGTCGATCTCACATCTAAATTTTTTATGTGTAATTTGAAGGCATATAATTTAGCAGAAAGTTATGAATTTTTCAGTAAAATTTTTTCCTCTAATTACACATTTATTTATCAACACAAGTAACGTTTGTAAATATATTTATATATTTATATTAAAGCTTAAAATTCTATTTGAATTTTGAATTTTTCAACAAGATATATGTCCGCATATATTTTCTAAGAAGGAGAAAATATATATATAAATTACTGTTTTGTGACATACATAACATTAGTAAGAGATTTTTTGGGAAAAATACAAATTTTTTCAATTGATACTCATATTAATATATATTTTTATTCAATTCAATCTATTTGCTGTAATATGTCAATTAATTTATAATTTTTAATATTGTAAAAAGTAAATATGATATCAAAATTTTACAATAAAAAAATTATTCAATTTATTTGTTCAAGCTAATGATTAAAATATAATTAAAAAAATAAAAAAAAAGATAAACATAAGAGATAATTGAATAACATAATAAAAGAAATTAAAAATGATCTTAATTAAAAATCTGCTATATATATAGAGCACCATTTCCTATAAAAATGATAAAATATAAATTAATTTAATACTTAGATATACATAACTTTTATAATTCATTAGCAACGTGACTCTAATTATTGTCTATTAATTTTAAATTATTAAATAAAAAATTTTATTAAAAATCTACTAAACACTTAATTTTATCAATTTTAAAGTAAATAAATTTATTAAATATTTATTTTTAACATTTTAAATAAAATCACTGATTATTATCTCTAACAACATACCAAACGGGCTCTTAATTAGTTAACTAATATTCGTAAGTTAGACCGTTGACGAAGACGAAGACGAAGACGAAGCGATTGTCAGGCTCGTGATCCCCATTGACGAAGACGAAGCGAATAGCCATCAGTGAGTCCATTTCGGCAACCACTCGATTAATGCCCATCTCACGACAAAGCCCAAGTCCCTCTCTTCGTCCCCACAGTTCAGCTGGAAAGAGAGAAGCTTTATCTGGCATTGACAGAACTCCAAAATTGGGCAAAGTTAGAAGTAGCTAAAATTTTTTTTAATATATTATAATTATTTATAAGTTAATTAAAAAATATAAAAAAAATATTTTTATGAAGTTTGAACCTGTTATTTATAAAAATACATAATTTTAACGCAAAATCTAACATCACAGATCGGAACAGACCGTTCCAAATAACTATTTTTTTAAATAACTTTTCCACTGCAAAATTGAATGAAGTCTAGTCAATATATATAAAACAAAAATGTCCTGAGCAATGCATTGGTTAAAAGGATTAGTTTTTTTTCTTTTTTTTTTTTAATTTAAATTATATTATATATAAATAAAATCATTTATAAAATAAAAAAATTATTTTTATTATATAATTTAAAATAAAAATAATTAAATAAATACGAGCGACTGAAAGAGTGGGTCGATTCTATGTGTAATGTCACGACTTAATTTTTAAGTCATCGCATTCACCCTCCCACGAGGTCCCACAAGGTCTGCTGATCGGTGTTTTTGGCGTGACTCTCGAGTATTAGAAATTTCTCCGTGAATCGTCATCAAAAACGTCATCAAAAAGAAATTTCTTCGTGGATGGACCCAGACAATTAATGACTTAACTTTGTTCACAAGTGATAAAACCGCGGGAGCGTGAGTTCACGATCATCAATTAAAATGTTAAGGATTTAAATTTTTTTTTATTTTTAATAAATTTAATTTAATTTTAAAAAAATTTTTAAATATATT